GCCCTATAAAAATAAGTAAAGCCTCATCTAATAACTCATTGAAAATTGTAATTCAAGCATTCGAAAGCTTTTACATAAGTCATCACAACTTGAACATTATGGTTGTGAAAAAAAAAAGATTTCAAACCCTAAAAAGTAGTTTATATTTTAACAAATTATCTAGACCATCTATTTTACCCTAAAAATAAGTGTTCAAAGATCCACAACATCTATAGGACTTTTTGAGTTTTAAATTTTATTGTCGGTGTTGGAATTTTATTTTGGAGCATTCTTTTGCCGAAAGTGCTTTACAAACAAGGATTTGATGTGAGGCTTTATTTGGTCTTCATAAAACCTAGGCCTTACAAACTTCATCCTAAAACAAAAATGGTTCCCTTGACTTGGATTGACTTGTAGAAGGTGGAAAGTAGTTTCTCTTCAAGGATTGGAAGAGAAATGGACATTTCTAGGTAGCTTACACTTCAATAATATAAAAGCTTTAGCCATTGGTTTACATATAAGACTTTTTTCTAATTGACTGGATCCTCTCTTGTGGAAAAAAGGAATCAAAGGACATACACTTTTAGAATTCTAAGTAGCCTACATATTATTTCCATGAATGTTCAATTCACTTTCTTTATGTGCATTATATTCCTTACAAGCTTTAAGTTTCAATATCCAAATAAAAATTTTGAGAAATATTGTTAAAATTGTCAAATCACCTAAGATGGTTACCAACTAATGTATTAACAAAGCAAATGCTTTTAGAAAATCATTTCACATTTATATCTCTTTCATTATTTTATTACAAATACTTAAACTATTTATTTTAGTTGGATGGTAAAAATTTGGCTCATTTTTTAAGACAATGTCAATATTTTTTTTGTATGATAAAAATTGAGGGGGAGAGAAGACGAGATATTTGGAGGAGACAAGCATGACAGAAAATTCCGGGTAAAGAGTCAAGGTTAGAGAAAAAGATAGAGAAGCCATGGGAGAGCCAAGTTTTTCATAGGCTAAAGAAAGACAGAGAAGAAGAGCACTGCAGAAAATGGAAATTAAGAGATCTTTGGATAACCATTGATCTTTTTGCCCGACTCAGATGAAATGCCGACCGACAGGCCCTTACCTTTTGTTCGATTTTTTACTAAAGATGCAAAATAATAAAACCCTTTTTCTGCCCATTTTTCTCGACACTTGCTCTAGTTGGCCTTCTTTGGTTTTGGCTTGTATGTTGTTGGAAAAGTTCTTGGTGCATCAAGAGATGCAATTTATACTGTGTCCCCTTATATATCCACCGTCTATTTACAATAGATGATAGAGATTGTATCCTGGTCTCATTTTTCATATACAATCTCTATTTTTCACGTAAATGGACAATGAATGTATTAAGGAGCGCAGCCAATAACAATATCCTCTAATACATAAAAATCAGACCTACATATTTTTCATATGAACTTGAGGGCTTGTTAACACCTAAAAAATGGGGATATTTAGGAAGCATCATGTGGGTGTTCTAAGAAAAATGAAAGCCTATTTGAGGGTTTCCGAGAGAGAGCTTCTAAACTTTTCTCTTTTCCATGCTTTTATGATGTTTTTTTGTTTCATGGAAAGGAATTCTATTGTCACGTGGATATAAGCAATTTGTCAAATCACGTAAGTCTCTCTTTTTTTTTTTCCATTATTTTTCTTTTTGTTTATTTTTTCTCAAGCATTAGTTTTTATCCTCATAATGTAGAGAGTGATATGAGAGAGATCTGGAAAGGAGTAAAGGCATACATAAGTCTCTCTTTTATTTTTTCCCATTATTTTTCTTTTCGTTTTATTTTTTCTCAAGCATTAATTTTTATCCTCATAATGTACATAGTGATATGAGAGAGAGATTGGGAAAGGGGCGAGGACGTGGTGGTAACACATCATTTGCATGTTGTAGCTTGCATTCCCATTTACAATTACACATTGTGGTTTTCATTCCCATTGACAACTAAGACCTAGGTCGTTACTCACCAATTCCCTGCAATTCTAAATCCAAATTAGCAATTTCTGAAGCACGGAATATAAGGCATAAAAGATTTAATGAGAAATAAGTCACGGAAAGAAGGCACTGAACCATTCAGTTAATTGGAATCTGAATTTCAGCAATAACATAGGGAATCAACGATAAATATCAGCAACAACAGAATGCCATGCTTTTATTTTCATAATTGTAATAGAAAATCATGTTTTTCACTCAAGTGGCCATGGATTCTAAGGCTATTAGCCCTACTATTTCATGTTTGATTCCTCAAGAAAATGCGCATGATTCACAAATTTATTGAACAATTTTTGGCTAGCTCAGTATTTACCAACAGCAATGATAAATACTGAAGGCCACTTAGGTAATAGTTGTACATTAGATTGCAATATATGAACCTTATTGAGGTGAGTTTTAGAGAGAAGGTCCTTGTTGAATAGTGAGATCTTTTAGATATGGTGTACAGGGATCACTCCTTACTTCTTTTTTTTGGTAATTTTTCCATCTATTTGTTTTGTTACTGTACCATAATAAAAATGGGTGCAGTTGTACCATATTAAAAATGGGTGCAGTCGGCATACAGATGCATCCGTAGCTGTCGAGGTATCTGTAGCTGTCGAGGTAAGGTGCCCTTTCAAATTTTATCATGGTATATAATTCTGATGTAAAATGTTCTTAGGATTATCTCAAAATCTGATTTTATATCTAATTATAAAATTTTAAATTTCAAAAGTGTTTAAAATCAAGTAGATCTATAAACATATGAAAATAATGAAAATGGACGGTTTGGATAATATGTTATAAAAAACACTATTTCTGAGACTTAAAATCTTTTTATTTTTCATGGTCATACATCTCGATGTCGAGATGATCAATCAAAGGGTTTTTCAACATTAAAACTACCTTATCCGATGGATTTTTGAGGTGCATCTATAGTTCTACATTATAAGGTTGCATCCTTATATAAACTTTTTCCATTAAAAATAAATGAATAGTGTTTTGAAAAATATCTATGTATCCTTTATTTTAAGGTTTTATATCTTCTAAATTCATAGACTTTTTAATCTCATAGAGTAACTTTATCCACTTTAAACTTATTTTTTTAGCCCGAACAAATCTTAGAAAGAGATGCCCGTTTTTAAATCCAATCATTTGATTCTTCCCGTGCATCACCTCAAACTTCTCTCTCTGACTCTCCCCAAACCCCGTCTCTCTCTTTGTATTCTCCCCTCTCTCACACACTGACAAAATCTACGTTCGGGATAAAATATGCTTTTGTCTCCCTATTGTTGGAATTGGAATTGGGTCATGGAAAGAAAGATGTTAACTTTATGAGTTTAGAACATGAAAGAGAGAAGTATAAAAAAGTAGATTTGAAAACCATGTTTTTTTTTTCCATCTTGTTTTAGATGGGATGCTGATCCCCAATTTAGATTATGCATTTTTAAATATGATGCATAATTGACATATGTTATTTGATAGGGACTGTGTTTGGCATCTCAATCCTATTTGACATCATTGAATGTGAAATTGGCATTTGGGTTCCTCACATGATCATGGTACTGATTTATAGTCGTTGAATTGTAATAATATGAGGTCTAGAAAATTCAGTAATCATGATTAAGCAGATACTTGGAAAGCTTCCTCGTAAGCCCCAAAATCAAGTGATAGTCAAGGAGTTGGGAATTCCATCCCCAGTGCACCATCAAAATCAGTGCACCATCTAGATTTTGACACAGAGAGAGAGAGAACAGACTTCACAAAACACAAATATAATTTTTAGAGCGATCGAAGGGTCATGGAAAAAGATTGAGAGGTGGGAATAAGAGACGAGAGAGAGCTTAGAGAAAGAGATTGAGATCTAATCTCCTTCTCAAACTTCGATGTCAGCAAGAGAGAGAAAGAGACGAAACTTGAGTCCATCGAAAGAGAGCGAGAGAGACTTTGATGTCTCCGAATGGGCATCTTTTGGCAACTAAAATGTGATTGTAAGTGGGGGTTTTCGTATATCATTCGATCTTATGATTCCATTATGCTGTCGAGATTTGCTAATCCCTCATCATTTAAGCTATCATAAAAATCTGCTCCTTAAATCTTCTGAAACTTGATAGTATGGCTGAGCATATATTTCTTTGGTAGCCTATGTCGTGTTTCGAGGCTTCATTTTATCCGTGCTGTCTCTATTGTATTGAGATACATTTCAGTCTTTCGTATCGATCCTGAAGTACAATTGGAATCATAGTACTATTGGAATCCAATTTGAGAGAAGAATTATAACAACTCTTTCATCATGAAAGATGTTCCAACTCTCATCATAAGAATAAGAATGAGTCAATATAACTTCAGAATTTTTTTTTAAATCATTCAGCTTTCCCTTCTTCGTAACTTTTCTTTTCACAAAATAATCTTTTTGAGTTTGAAAATGGTAAAACACTCTTTGTTCTCCAAAAATAATTATGAAAACATAATGAGCTGCATATAACTATGCTTGATGAATTTTTGGAATAACACTGAAATAACAAACAAAAATACATCTCGGTAAAAAAATTAAAAAGCACGACAGCATTTTAGAGATTCCTTTTTTATCCTCAGATTATAGACATAAGCTTGTTACCAATCCTGTTGTCATTAACAAACAATTGCTCTTCTTCATCCTATATTTCTAGAAGACCCTCTTTCCAGCAAATTTTTTTTTTCTTTATAATAAGTGAAATCTTGGGAATAGTTTCATATTTCTGTAAGATATTCTTCTTGAGATTTTCTGCTAATTTTTTTAAATATTTCATAAGGCAATTCTTGTATTTTTCTGGAGGTTTCCCCCTTTTCTCTATTTTTTGAAGCAGCTTGTATTAGCTCTTCTTCATTTTTTTTCCTTCGGCTTCTTTATCTTCTCTCCTAGTGGTCACCCTAGTGAATCTACAAGATGATCTAAAGAATCTTGTACAGAAAATATTCTTGTTAGCATGACATAGCCGTGGCTTTTTTGGAATTCGTCTGAGAGAATAACTTTAGCTAATTCCTCAATAAATCTATTTATTTTTCCAAGTAAAGAGATATCCTTATACTTGGATAATTTGTTAATTATTTTTTCGGTATTCTCACAGAGATCCCTTTGAGAACATTTCTGAATAACTATAATTAATTTTTCAATTAACTCACAATGCTCTGACTTAAGAGAATCATTAGCCAAGCTTTTCAAATAATTTATCTTCTGTTGTCGCGATAACCCTTGAGAATCCATGGAGTTTTCCTGCATCATAGACAATTCTCTAGTTAGTAGCCAATTCTTTGCAATATGTTCTACAGTAAAAGAAAAACTGGTTAAACCATATTATAGAATAATTTTGTTGAGTATTATTCCATATTCCAGAAGTAAATCAGATCCGTTGTTCTTTGTCTTTATGCCTTACAAAATATCAAAAGAAATTAGCAGAAAATCTCAAAAAGAATATCTCACAGAAATCTAGAACTATTTCCAAGATTTCACTTATTATAAAGAAAAAAGAATTTGCTGGAAAAAAAGTCTTCCAAGAATACATCTTCAGGATGAAGAAGTGGAAAAATTGTTAATGATAGCAAGATTTGTGACAAGCTTTTATCTAAAATTTGAAGATAAAAAATGAATCCCTGCTGTGTTTCCTAAAAATTCTACCAATGCCTATTTTTATTTGTTGTTTCAGTGCTATTCCAAAAATTAATCAAAAACAATTATATGCAATCATTACATTTTCACAATTCATATTTGAAAACAAGGAGTGTTACCATTTCCAAACTCAAAAGGATTATTTTATGAAAAGAAAAATGTCTAAGAAGAAAGAGCTGGAGGACTTAAAAATATTTTTGAAATTATATTGGCTCATTCTTATGATGAAACTTGGAATATCTTTCATCATAAAAGAGTTACTATAGTTATTCCCTCAAATTGGACTCCATTAATACCACAGGATTGGTAAGAAAGACTCGACAATTGTAAAATGTATCTTAATACGATAGAAATAGCACGAGTAAAAGGGAGTCCAGAAACACGACAGAAGCTACCAAAAGCCACCTGTCCAGCCACCTGTTGAAAATAGTAAATGAAGTAACCGCATCGCCACATTTACGAGTGGATTCACAAACAAGCAGTGAGTCAGAGGCGTGACATTGCATCACCACTTGACGCAACCGGATCACTCTGCAAGTACCATGCAAGTACATGAGAGAGACAGAGAGAAACCGGATCACTCTACAAGTAACATGCAAGTACATGAGAGAGAGAAAGAGAGCATGACATGCACGATGAGTGCTTTCTAATTTCTCTAGTTTGCTGAGAGAGAGAGAGCATGACGAGCATGATGGGTGCTATCTACTTTCTCTAGTTTGCTGACTCAGAGAGAGAGAGAGAGCATGCCATGAACGATCAGATGAGCACTTTCTACTTTTTTTAGTTTGTTGTGTGTATGTTTGTGTGTGTGAGAGAGAGAGAGAGCATGACATGCATGATGAGATGAGAGAGAGAGCATCACGTCCATGATGGGAGCTATCTACTTTCTCTAGTTTTCTGACTCACAGAGAGAGAGCATGCCATGAGCATGCCATGAACGATCAGATGAACACTTTCTACTTTCTTTAGTTTTTTGTGTGCATGTGTGTGTGAGAGAGAGACAGCATGACATGCATGATGAGATGAGTGCTTTCTGCAGGTTGCTCAGAGAGAGAAAGGATCGAACTGATTATTGACAGTTGAAACAAAACCAATAGTGGGAGTGCTCACCAAAGGAATGCCTTTCTTAGCCCTTTCCTCCAAAAATAAGCATGGTTCATAAAAGCCACCATATACCTCAGCCCACTTCTTGAGACTGGAATATATGTGTGCAGGTCCAACTAAATCTGCCCAAAACACAATCCCTCCCCTAACACATGAACAACATTAAAACAAATGAATATGGTAAGCTCCCACTTAAATTTAGAGTTCCAATATATAATAAACAATATTGAGAATAACAAAAGGAATTCAACAGCCCCAAAAAATTACACACAAATATGCTAGTAATGGAAACAACCATGCTTTCCCAAAAAATGCAGTCCCTGGTGATAAACAGTGATAGCCCACACGGGTGACTTGCCTCAAACTCACCCTAGCCACTCAATTTGGCAGGCTGCCAAGCCCAGAACACCCCTAACTGTAATTGATTTAATATTTGACTAAATCAACTATAATTGATTGATAACTAATTAGGTGCATACTTTTCATGTTCTTATGATTTATAATGATTTTTATGAGAAAATGATCTTTAATGAGTTTTCTATTTTTTAATCTTTTTATGTTATCATTTTTATTTTTGCTTTCTTCGCTCCTATTTTTACTGAATTTTCAAGATTTCTCCCCTTCTTTTTTTTTTAAAGCTTTTCCCTCTTTGGACAGCTTGGCACTGACTTGGGTGAGTCGACTCAGACTCATCCGTTCACTCTGACCTCCCAGGTCCGAGTTCCGATGCCGAGCCACATTTTCGAATACTTATGATAGAAAAACAATAATAATGCAGCCATTGATTATCAAAATAAATTAATAATACTGTCACTGATTTTGATGATAATAATATGATGATGATTATGGGAAAACGAATTAGGAAATTTATCAAAATACACCTCACATTTCAACTGTTTAACATTTTACCATTTTCTTACTGTTCAAAATTAAAATCATGTGTATTTTGATGGGAATTATGAAATTAATTAAAAACATATAAGTAAAAAGCTAAATAGTTAATCCCATAGGTTTATCTTACCAAATTTCCTCAATGAATTTCTTGTGGTAATTCACCTTAAAGAAAAGGCGAAGGGGCAAAAAGTACTTGCAGGAAACATGGAGAACAATGCTTACCTGTACTTGGGGAAACCCATTCCAAGAATGGATGAAATGTCGAGGTCAGATGCTCTAAGAACAATTCCTTCACTCAGAACCCGGCAAGCCTCGTTTACAACTGGAAAAAGGATCATCTCCAATATTTCACAGTCACTCACCGTTATTGGCTGCACAACATGAAGTTGCATCAACAAACTTGAGTATCAAGAAGAAAGATGTGTAGGAGAGAGAGAGAGAGAGAGAGAGAGAGAGAGAGAGTACGTTACCGAGAAGTAGAAGAAGTAAGAGTACGTAGAAGAGTAGAGAGAAGTAACGTAGGAGGAAGTAAGTAACTACGTTCCACCTACAATCCGACTACTGT